CAGCAGGTCGCACGTGTTGACAAATTGACTCTTTTCCATTGAACTACATTCGTAAAAGTGTCTTCGTCTTATTTTTTTCCAAGCAGTTCTGAGTTACGCTATGAATTTTATTAAGGCCTTTTGGAGGATTCCATGCAGAATAGACACGTTACCTCATCTTCTGTGAAGGAGTCGATCATGTTTGCGTGCTCGGGTGAGTCGATAATTGCAGCAGATTTCTCCCAGAAGCGAAGACGTCGTCGCCATGCGTTGAGCATCGGTTCAAACATCCCGGCGATGCGGACGAATGCAGCTGACATTGTTGCTTCCTCGTGAGAATGATGATGATGACCAGTCTCTATTGTAACCTTGAGAATTCAGAATTTTCCTTTAATTTCAGCATGATTTTTTTTTTCTAGAGAAACCAGAATTAGCTTGGTAACACTGATGGAGTTGGTATAGTAAGTGGTACATGACTGCGATGTCTTCGGGGATCCTACGTTTGAGGCCGATCAATAAATCGTATGTATGGGACGCATCAGACTGCACTTCGAATACAGTTTGAACCTCAAGAACTCAAAACTCCCTTGTTGGAATACCGCTATGCAGTAATGTATGTCCATTTTTTTCCAGTTCCTGCTGTCTAACTTTTTGAAGAAACAATGTATTAAAAACCTCATAACTAAAAGGTTTCCCCCCTCAAATCTCCATAACTCATATTTTTGGAGGCCTTTTGGAATTTCTCTTATTGACACAGGAAAGAGAGAAGCAATAAAAAGGTAACTTGATGTGTTTTGAAATGAAGTGTGAGTCTAATTGGGGAAATGAACCCTTGCATCCAAGTTCAGCATCCTGGCAACTCATTTAAGAAGCAATTGAACACTGGGAATATCACCATTTACAATTGCGAGCAATTCTTCTTTCTTTCCCTTAACAAAATTACTTGTCTCTCTAACTTAAAACCTGTCTAGATTCAATTTTTTTCTGGTCCCTTGCAGTTTGATTTTTAGAGAGGCTCAACTGTACATACAGTGTTGTGACTATTGTTTTAGTATGCAGGTTGATATGGTGACCAGCGAACTAATTAAAGCCTTCATTAATTTTGTTCAAATAGAAAGTTAAGAACAGAACACACAAAAAAGTAAAACGTTGCTTATTTCTCACCGACACAGGCTTTGAGTCGCTATTCGTCGCTGGAATCGTGCTCGCCATGCTGCTTTCTCCTGAGCTTTCAGTCTCATCCGATTCCTGCAATACGTTGTCAGCATTATTATTGTTGTATCAATAGCGTTGAATTCCGAAAGGAAATCAAATCTAACCATCGTTGAGTTTCCCGCTAGATTCGTTTCGCCATTCACTCTCGCGTCCTCTTCAACGATTCGTTTAAATACTGATTCTACGATGCCTTCGGGTGCTACGTAGCCGATTTCCATCAGACATTTCTCGCAGAGCTTCGAAATGACGCCAAAAGCTTGAGAATTTGAAAAAGAAGAAAATTGGTCACCACTATGTCGATAAATTGGTAATAAACGGTTATTTATGAAGTATTGTCGTTTGTGTCTTTGAAGGAATGGTGGACTTCGCTCATTTGATGCCGTATTTAAATCCCATGCAATAATAAGCAATATTAAAAATATGAATAAATTAATCGAATATTGATAAATCAAATACATAAAAAATTGAATACACTAAAAATTGAATGCATTAAAAATTGAATACATTAATCAAATATTGATTCATTGAAAAATTGATAGAATATTACCCACGTCCCACGGATATTATTAATACCGAAACAAATCTTGAGAATGAGTAACCATATTCCCTCCATGGGCCTTTCTCAGGAAAGTCAGACAATCAGTTATATTAAGTGCTTCTTTTTTCTTCCTGTTATATTATAGCATTTTACAACTCTGATACTTCCAGCTTCCTCATGATGCTTTGATAATCAATTTGATGGTTATCAAATAACACAAAATGTATTCGGAATTTAAGGAGAATCAAAGCTCAAATTGGAATTCCTGCGCGTATATATTGTTACGAATGGTATTTTTTATCATTCAAAGGTTTCACTTGTGTGAACCTGTTAAAATCTGATTGTGGTGACTTGTCACCAGCAT